TGTATATATATATATATATATATATATATATATATATATATATATATATATATATATAATACAGAAGCAGAATGATCTGCCATTCAATCTCCATTGCCAGCTACCCGATATCATCTGATACGCCTAAAAAGAATAACAGATGCATTAATCTCTTGGCAAGAGATGAAACGATTGTAATATATCTGTTATATTACAAATTTCGCTAACCTTTTCTCCATAAATGGCAAGTGCTAATCTAATACCAAGTACCGTAGTTTTCGAAATTTTTTTTTTTTTTTCAACGGTGTACATTTTTTTTTCTCTTCTTCTTTTCTCTCTTTAAAAAAAAAAAACTCTTAAATGCAATGTTAGCTCGATCACTGCTGAGACAATAGTGATACTCAACTTGGCTTAGCGAAATCAAAAGGCGAAGACGATTAACCATCCGTCAACATATAATAGAAATATAAATTTAAATTTAAATATTCGCGCCAGATGACTTCTCCTGTTACTCTTTTTATTATATCAAGATATATTAAGTTAAACTAAAAATTGTAAGTGGCTTTCGCTTGTAGGGAAGGTGGCCATAGGAAAACCGATAAGCTATACTAGCTCCTCGCTTTTCCGGGGGAATGTTATGTCCACCCGCATTTTTTTTCTTTTGTTTTCTTTTCTCTTTCTTTAAATTTAAATCGTCCGCGCAGATGAAAGACTTCTCCATGCGCGAAAGCCACAATAAAATAGAAGCTACGCGACTGCTGGTTGACTAGCGGGGACTTCTGCAAACTCAGCAGCGCGAGGTTTTAAAAAGGCGAGCAACAGCCAACGCCATGTCTTAGTTAGTTAATTTGACTTCCGCGTTTAACTTGACGGACCTGTGCCTTGTATAAGTCCCTTATCTTAATTTGCGCTGCACTTAAGACGAGTTCAGACACGGTTTAACCGGCAGGCCACGTATTAATTATAAGTATTATAATCATAGAGAGCCGTAATCTCAAAGTTCTAATTTGCTCTGCACTTCGACGAGAATACGACCAATAAGTAAATTTTAGAGAACCAGATTCTCAAAGTTCTAATTTGCTCCGCACTTAGGCGAGAATCCGGTCAGTAAATAATTAAAATCTCTTAAAAGCTAAATTTGCGTACTTTACTCTACGGGGGACTGGAGGACGTTAGCTCAAACAAATAAAATTCAAATTAATAAATTACGTTTAATAAAATTTGTGAAAGTGTAAAAGTTTTAGTGTTTATAAAAATAAATATCAAAAGAAGTGAAATTTTGTTCGAGTTAGTTCATTTTATAAGATAAGGAGCCCTTAGAGTAAGCAGCCCAAATCCATCCAATTCCATCCGCTGCAAGGACCAACCAGAGGGCCCATTCAAGGAAAAGGCGCTCCGGATCAGCAGCCCCGGAATCACGGATCCGAAACAGCAGCCCCGGAATCACGGATCCGGTAATAACTAAAAATCCTGCAAAGAGTAAGTACATCTATTCTTAATAAAACCCGTGCCCAGTCTCAAACGAAGGCGTGGTAAATTCGTACATCGAAAACGTCCTACAAAAATAATTAAAACAACGGAATTAAAACCTCCGTTGCGTATTCTTTAAACTGTTTGTCCAAACCTTCACCGTTTACGCTACCGCTCTAAAAACGCCCTTGGACATAACACCATAATAATTGTAAACAAAAAAATAAAATCTCCAATCTAGAGTCATGAGGGGGAAAGTGTGCGATGTGGGTAATAGTATGCAAACCCATGTATTTAAGTCTGAAATCTTTATTTATGTTTGTAATCAATACTCCAGCACTTTTTTCGCAGAGTTGAATTGCGAAAAATCTTCATTAAAAAAAAAAATTAATTTTATTTGAGACATCAATTTTTGGCCCAAGAAAATCATTTTGAAGAGTTTTATTATTTTGAAACATGACGAAAAATCCTCGAATCAAGTATAATTTACTCAGATCAAGAAAAATTTCTTTGTCCAAGAATTTTTCTACATTAATCACGACGGTGAAACTCTTCATAATGATTTTCTTGGGGCAAGAATTTATCTCTTAAATCAAGTGAATTTTTTTTTAATGTAAGTTCAGGTATTGTCTACGTGGCAAAGAGGTATTTCTACCAAATTTTAAGTCTATAGGTCTAATGTTTTCAGAGATATTGTAATAAGTTACTATGTAAGTGCACTAGAAAAAAATATTTCGATTCAAGTATGAAATTCTTGGCTGAAAAATAATAAAAAAAAAACAATAAATTAAAGAAAATTTCGGACTAAGAAATTAAATTTCTCTACGCAAGGAATACTTATGATTAATTTGACCTATAAAACCTTTCAGTCATTTATTGATATAATTTTTTATTTTTGTCAACATGAACAATTCCAAGAGAAAAAACATAATATTTCAATATTTTTTTGCTCGACGAGCAGAAAGCGTCAACTTTCGACCCGCTGCGCTAAACGAAGTTGCCCCTTTCTGCCTTCGTCAAGCAAAAAAATAGTATACACTCTACGGGAAGTAAATAAAAAAGCTTCAGATCACATGTTTGTTGACCTCGGCTTCGCCTCGGCCAACAATTACATGTGATCTGAGACATTTATTACTTTACTTCCCTAGGTGTGTAATATACTATTGTAAACACAAACAATCAAACGGAAAACTGAAAATTTTTTCACAATGTCAATTGGCTCCTTCTTGATCCTGGAACATAAAAAAAAAATTTTATTTTGTAGAAGTTTACACACTTACTGAAACAATTAAAAGATTTTGAAAGTCCAATTACATTTTACGAAAAATAAATTGAAAAAACGGTAGACGTAATGTTTTTAACACAAATAAATGACCTAATACTAATGCTAGAGATTATTCCAGTTAGGAATTAAGGAGTTCGTGAAAAAAAAATTGATCAATCATTGATCATTAAACGATCAACTATTCAACGATAGGTTGATAACTTAGTGATAACTCAAAAATAATTCAGTAATTGCTTAAGGATAACCCCGTGATCACTAAGAGATCATTCAGAAATCACTTAAAAGTCACTCAATTATTACTGAGACATCACTTTATGATCTCACATGGTGATCTCTCAGTGATTATTGGGTGATTTTCATTTGATCTCCGAGCAATGTCACTGAGTAATTTCTGAGTGGTGACTGAGTGATTTTTAAATAATCACTCGGTGATTTTTGAGAGATAACTGAATGATCTCTACCCAGTAAAAATTGGAACTGAGTAAAAATAACAATCTAAAAAATTGATTCAGGAAAAGTTCTTGAAATTTTTGACTCACTTCTCTGTTCTTACAGAACAGACTCGTAAGAGTATCCAAAAAAGTAAACGATACGACCAAGTTCTTTTGGGGTATTTTAAGTATTAAGTTTTAAGGTTGATCTCCAGGATCTTAATGTCAATAGTGTTTTACCTGAATGTTAGCAGCAATCTGGGCTTTCTTTCGCATATCGGTCATCATATTATTAACAGCCATTCCAAATAATGTCGGCTTGAATTCGGCAGGAAACTTTTGTTTTACAGCTTCTAGAAAATTTATTATCGAAAATTACGGTAGAGCAAGACTTCTGCAGCTCCTGATTGAGCAAAAGGATAAGAAAATAATTTCACATGTCAAGTGCTCATGCGGAATAGGTTTTCGAAAAGATTTAAAAGATTGTAAATAATTTTGAATGACTGAAAATCAAATTATTCTAAGTATTTTCTAATCATTTTGAATAAACAAATATACTAACCAGTAATTACTTCACAATCTATGACGTGATTTACAGAATTTTCATAAATTACTCACCTTTAATTGCAGCCAAAATGTTTTTGTCTGAGCTTGGGCGTTGGGGTGCATTATTGTCGATTTTGCTCGCCCCTCTTTTAAAATTGCTTCGCAACAAAACATATTCTTGAAACAAAGCCTTCACTAGACTTACGCCCATACTTTGAAACGTGTCCCTACTATTCGCTGTATCCCATTGGCTGCGTCGAACAAACACATTCGAACCAGGATGACCAATTTCTACCTGAAAAATAGAAAAAATTATTTTTTGAACTTCTCACTATAAAAATGAATCATTTTTGAAAGCCTTGAGTTATTGTTTTCAGTCCAATTTTCAATGATAGATTTCTTCCGATTACTACGGGTTAAATTCCTAAAAGCTTATAACACTCACTTGCTCGTTGAGATCCGGCTGAGGGTTTTGATTCCCAAGTTGGCGTTGAAGTATCTGAGCCTGTGATTCTTTAATCGTTCGAACTTCAGAAAACAAGTCCTTCATCATTTGTTTAATGGATTGATTATCTAGAATAAATTAAATAATAATTACTTGATCGAACTTCATACTACAGAAGAAAACTTTGGAAAAATTTATCTGGGAGTGCGTGAGGGTTTGTGGCTAAACTAAAAAAGTATTCAATTTATATTTAAACCTTTAAGGGACCAAATATTGAAACAATGTTTTTTAAATTTTATCAATTAGCAACTTAAATTTTCTCAAAGTTTTGAGATTAGGTAACAATTTTAAATGCGAATTTCGGGACTTTAGAGTCAAGTAGGGCAAGTGTACGCAGTGGATAAGAGTGCGCAAATCGATTCATTTTAGTCCCAAATAGATGGAATGGCGCATTCTTACCCACTGCGCGCACTTACCCCACATGACTAAGCTTAAATCATGAAAAACAGGAAGTTCTAGAGGTAGCTTGCACGACCAAACGCTTTTCAGATTCCTTCAGGTTAAGGATGGAATAAACATTGATATTTTAGTAAAGAATATACCCTGACGGATCTGTTCATTTGAAATGAGATCTTCATTGGCAAGGGGAGGTTCTTCTTAAATTTCCTGAGCCTCTGTATCTACAATAGCATCGCTATTTTCACCGTTATCCATTGGTTGATTCTTGAACCCGTCTTGTTCACCAGTGGTGACTTTTCTTTTCTTCTTCTTCCTTTTTTCTGATAATTCCTAAGAATTAAATTTGAAAAAATCTTAATTTACTTTCACAATAAAGACAAGAATTTTAGGAAAACATCAATCAAGTCTTACATGGAAGAAAAATTCTTCACTGAAGATAAATATTTAAAGTTCGAAAAATATTTGAGTGCTTGATAAAGACTAATGATTAAAAATATTAATTTAGAGAATTTTCTAAAATTAATACTCAAGCATAGGAGAAAGTTAGGTTAAATATTTAAAGAAAATAAAATTATCTTGAACCAAAACCAGATTTATCAATCAAAGCGATTGATTAATTTACTTATGCCAATTTAAGAAGTAATAAATTAAAAAATTATCAATCGTTACTGAAATTCCGCATTTCGAATTATGAAATAAAATTTAACTTACAAGGATACTTATAGGAGAAAGTAACTTAATCTAAGTAAAAAAAATACAAATTTCTTTTTTTTATTAGTTTTATTTAAAATAAAAAAGTTTTTTAAATTACAAACAATTCTTACAATAATATTTACATGAAAAAATAATTACAAAAAAAATATTTATAAGAAAATTTTACAAAAAAATTACAAAAAAAATATTTACAAAAAAATTACAAAAAATATTTATAAAAAAATTTTACAAAAAATCACAAAAAATATTTACAAAAATTACAAAAATATTTACAAAAAATTACAAAAATATTTACAAAAATATTTATAAATTGAAACGAAAATCATAGTTAGTTGTTCAGGGTTCTTTTAAATCCGTAAGGATAAGTATCAGAATCTCCTTCTCTACGCCTTTTATGACCCGCAGCTCTAACGATTTTCGTTTCTTTCTTTGTTATAACCTGGTGGTAATTATCTCGCCGTATACCTGAATAGGATACCAGAAACTCTTTTTCCTGGTCAACTACTAGAGAACGTATGGAATTATAATTAATTAACTTTTCAGTAGACCCATTAATTTTAACGCCTTTTAATTTAGAACATTCACTGGTTTTACCCTCATGTTTAACGACGTAAGAATAAAATTTTGGGCCTCCTGATACAAAAGAAGAAATATAGCTACCTTTTCCATAACTTTCTAATTCATCTGTTAGGTCACCCAGAAAATCTCCGGTAGGTAAATCATTAGTGTCATCACTTACATATATGACCGAATCAGTATCATAATATAATACTTTTTCATTCAACACATCTAAATAATCATACAATTTAAGGCGAGCTTGAGCGGTAGTGAAAGCAGCAATTACAACGTTAGCACGATCAGATGGTGAATAACACTCAGAATTATTTTGCCAGGAAACAAAAACAGTTTCATCATTTACTGGTAGTAATGATGTTACTTTAACCTCAGGGTTGAAAGCTAAGTCTATCAATTCGTTGTAAGTTTTGACAATTGATTTCTTTGTCATGTTTTCACGTTGCCCAAACTTACCCCAAAATGAATTCAAAAATAATTTAGCTAGAGATCTTAGACCGGGGTTTTTAGCGATTTTATTGGTATCAAGTGTAATACCCTCCCTAGCTTCATAATTATCAATATATTCTTGACGCGACTGTTCGTCTATGCAATGAACAGGCCATCCTGAAGCTTCTTGCTTGATTTTTAAGAAAGTGTTAATGTATTCAACAAACAGACCCGTATTATTATCATCCCCGGGGATATACTTGACAGTGTTTTAAGACCAAATCTCATCTATTTCCTGTATAATATATCCCTTCTTCACTGCTTTACGGAGTTCACAGGATACCCATGTACCATATAATTCCCTCTCTGACATACAATTGTGATAACATTCCTCTTGGACTAAATTATCACAACAGGCTTTACATAGAGGAAAAAATAATTTTCCATGAGCTCTATAAGGAAATACTGGGTGAAATAAATTACGCGGAGGCAAAACTCTACATTTAATTAATCTCTCTACCTTTGAAATATCATTATTCACACAAAGGGTATTACACTCTTTTCCAACATAAACCGTTGGATGACCTATCGGAAAATAACCTCTTTTTAAGACCCATGGACATAAGGAACATAAGTCCACATACTTGATTTTTTCAATATCTTTACCATTCTTATCTTGTTTTACATCATAGTATGCTTTCGCATTACCTGTACGCCCACCAAAAAATGTATCTCTAGGGTTAAGTGGCTGAATCGAAATAACTTCAGAAGACGCGAGAAAGTCCTGCAGATCAGGATTGTTTTTTTTTTCGTGATTAAATTCACATTCCCAGATCTCAATCAAATTATATTCACCATTCTCAATTTTTTGAGATTGTATTTTGGTATTTTCATACCTAATATTATGGCTACTATGTTTAATGTTTTTATTTTTAAATGTTGGTTGAGATCTGTTTGATTTAAAACATTTCGGACAACCGTGCCAAAAACAACCATGAAACTGATATGCAAACTTTTGTCCGTCTTCAGCCTTTCTGTAACCGTCGAGTTTAATTCCACCAGGTAATATTATTTCGTGACCCCGTAATGCATGAATTATTTTAATATTCTGGCTATGTTCTAACCATGTCAACCACTCAATCGCAACCCGTGATTGATTATCTGCTAACCTATATCCTGACCGTGGTAAAATACCAATCTGCTTCTCCTTTAAATAATTCCTCCTGTAAAACAACATACAGGTTGAAGCGATTGTTGTACATTCCGTAAAAGGACATACATTACCACAGTCAAGAATAAGTTTCCTAAATTTACTACATGCTAATCGTAAAATACTTACATCTAATTTACAATAATGGAGAATTTCCTCCTTAAAATCAAAATTATTATTTGTATTTACTCTATTTTCATACCATTCGAGAAATTCTTGTTTTTCCGACTTCTTTGGAGGTGAAGATTTCTCAGACATAGAGTTGAATCCGTAGAACGGCTTGTCCGGCATTACACCGATGTAATCTTGATTGGCTCTGCTGTTGAAAAAATGAGGAAAATAACCTTTCCGCATTTTATCTTCGAACCAGAATGATTTGGGTAGAGCTGACAATGGTGCTGAGATAAAATTTAAACTATCAATAAATTTAATTTTTTTATTATTGAGTTCAATTAAGGTGACACTAGTACCGGTCATGATCGTATCAATATCACTTAACTGTCTCTTAAACAACTCCGTGAGGATAAACTGCGCATCAAATCCTTTAGCGTTGTGTGCTATACATACCACTTTTTTACAAGTCCTGGGTTTACTTATTTCTAAGACATAGTCCACAAACTTTTCTACACAGTCTTCACCATGAAAAATTGTTTCACAAGCCCCGCAATTATTACAGAAAGATCTGGCGGTACCCAACTCAAGGTCATCAATATCACAACACACATTACACACTTGTTGAGCGACACATAAATTTGGTACATGAATGTTCATCTTTTCACTGTCATGAAATTTATCATCTTGGCGAGTCTCAAGATCATAATACACAAATTTTACGCACTGTTTAGTTGGTGGAGGTAACTTCACAGGTGTCATGAAACAAAAATGTCCTTCTTCGCAAAGTTCTTTACACGTAGAGCACAAAAATTTCCCACAACTGTGTAAAGTTTTTCTCGGGAATATAATTTTATGGCAGGTTAAACAAAATTGTTCATTATCACACACAGTTTGTTCTTTTCCTTCGTACGAGCCTTTGGCTAAATGATTATTGTAACACTGTTGTCCATAGAAAAATCGATTACATTTGGCACATGTTATTTTACGTTGAGTTGTATCGCAAGTACCTTTTGCATAGCATTTGGTACAAGAGTATGGACAGTTTTTGTGATCGTATATATTTTTATACTTCACTGAACATTGTTCACAATAATGCCTAGCAGATTGTAAACCTTTAACAGCGTATATATACTCAAAACGCTTTACTTGGGGGTAGTAAAGGATTCGTAGCGTAATCCCCACACTTCCATAGATTTCAATCACTTGTTCAGTTCCATTAAAAAGTATTGGGTATAGTTTTGCACTTTTATCTTTTTCAGCACTGTACACGATGATAGCCACTCCTTGGTATCTCAAATAATTTTGGAAAGATTTTATTTCCTCGAGCCCACATCCTTCATTAGGAACCGTTACACCAGCCATATTTGATAATTCTTTTGCACGATTTAATTGTTCACGTCCACCATTTTTTATAATTTTATAGTCGTCATACAGTGGACCGGTTGATGCTTTTTCGAGTAACCTCGTTTGACCAGCTATCGCTGTTACCAGTGCTCTAGGTCAACAATATTCATCGTTGTTGCGTAACGTCATTACACCTTTTGGCCTTATTAAATCAACAGCCGGGGTCCACATTCTGCCTCCAAGACCGTCAATGATATACAGCTTG